CCAACCAACAGCAATATAGTACACAAAACCAATCCTTCAGCTAAGCACAGCATACAAATCCAAACCACTATAATATATATGCATCCTCAGAGTATTATCTTGACATAGCCTGCTAGACGTGTCACACCCTTTATAACATTCACCCCTATTTGATTCTTAATAAAGTGACCTGCATGGAAAATTTGTTAAAATTCAGCATCAACATTTCTCAGTTCGTATACGAGAGTATGAGGCCAACAATGAAATACATTCTGTCATAGAATCATAGAATATCAGGGCTGGAAGGGACCTCGGGAGGTCATCTAGTCCAACCCCCTTCTCAAAGCAGGACCATCCCCAACTAAATCATCCCAGCCAGGGCTTTGTCAAGCATGACCTTAAAAACCTCTAAGGAAGGAGATTCCACCACCTCCTCTACTAAGGGAAAACGTGCATTGAAATCAAAGACGGGCTTTGCTGACATAAAACGTGAGTAAGGATACAGAATCTGGTCCAGAAAGAGAGAAATACCCAAATTCCAATGATATCCCATAGTCCAAGATTAAAAAGATCTGTAAATCCCAGCCATTTTATACATGTTGATCATGTGTTAGAGGGGAGGAAAGACATTTTTACTCTGCTAACGAGGCATCTAGGTAATGACTTTTAGAGGTGAATAACAAGTTATAATGTAGCAGTTTGTGAAGGATTAAAGGAGGCTAAGAAAGACAAACAATGATTAATCTTAAAGTAATTACTATTTTTGTCTCTGTATAAGTAAAAATTGGTGTCTGTCCATGTCTTCCTGACATACACATAAAGAAATTAGATAGAAATATAAATACTCTTGCTGGAAGGTTACAATGTAACACTACTTTATTTCTTAGAATTTATAACAATAACATACATAAACCCCAAAACAGAGAGACAAAACAGGCTGCTCCCTAAAAACACTTTACTCCCAACCACTTTACTCTAGGCTGGCTTTCAGCAGAGCAAATGGACTGTGATCACATGCTTCCATACAGAGCCCCTTAGCCTGCGAGCAGAACCAAGAACCCGCCCCCCTCCTCCTCCCCACACACCCAGAGATGGCCCCTACCCTGAAGAGCTTACAATCTAAATGGGCAAGACAGTACAAGAGTGGGACTAAAGAAGTATTATTATCCCCATTTCACAGGTGGGGAACTGAGGTGCAGAACAATGAAGTGACTTGCTCACAGTCACACAGAGCAGGGAACTGATCCAGCACTCCTAATTCACAGTCCTGTGTGTTAATCAAAAGACCATCTTCCCTCTCTTATCGTTTTTTTTATTTAAAGAAATCACTTACTCAGCTGCCAAGTCCAGAATTCAGTTGTCCTTGTTTCACCCGCATGTCACTGATGAAACTTCCACCTATATGTCCATCACTTTAAGAAGATGTGTTTTCAGGAGTTACAAGGGAACACTCATTATTTCCAGCGCTTGCGATTTTATTGTGAGTCTTGCAATATTTGGTGTTTTCTTAAAGCCCCAGCTCCTGGAGTCATGATGTTATGTGAAAACCTTGGCTTTCATTTAAATCAAAGTAAGTTTCTAACCCTTTGGTTGGAGAGAAAAGCTTACAAATGTGAATCCAAAAGGCTCAATAAACAGAAGGCAAAAAAAAAAATCTTCACAATTTATTTTTTCTTAGTAATCCCTTGATTTTAAGCCAATCTCCTGATTTTTGGGCCTGACTCATCATTTTTTTTTGATGGCTTGGGGTTGGTAATACTGGAACACAAAATCCAGAGCTCAGGACTTGCCAGGTAAGCAAAGGAGAAGCTGATTCTCAGAGCAAATTGCCTGCATATGTAACTCTGTTTATAATTGCTAAGCATGCCCATATCGGACAAGCTGTGGGGTACAAAAAGACATTCTGATCACTAGCTCTGATTGCAGAGAAGAGTAAGAAAAATCCTTTTGAGATGTCTCCATCATAAAAAGGAACAGTTCATCCCAACTAGTTTGGGACATGGCCCTGCAGTACTCAGTCAACCCACACTGGCTTCCCTTGAATGTCTGATGCAGAAAAAGGCTGCCTAACTCAGCTTGGCCATTTGAAAATATTGGAAACCTGAGTGCTTCAGAGTTGTTTGGAAGGTAACAGTTGTTTTAAAGATGCTCAGTTAATTTCCCAGGGTATTAAATCAACTCTTAAGTGCAATAAAGAGCCTAGTTCACAATGACTTTTAAATGTCCCGGTCTGTGTTTTCTAACAGCAAAACAAATTCTTTCCCTCCCCTTCTGTATCATCAAAGTTGGCCCTTGCTTAGGCTGCGTTTATACTACAGATTTCTGCTGGCATAGCTACATCAGTCCTTGTGCAAAGGGTTCTGATCACTGACTGTGCTGGCAGAAGTCCCTTGTGTAGATGCAGCTATATTAGCAAAGTTGTGCTTTTAGCATTATAGGTTGTTTTGCTTATTGGGGACAGTTTTATTATATAGAACTAAGTGCAGCTTTGCCAGTATAGCAGCGTTCACACTAGGAACACTTTGCCAGTGTAGTATACCAGTACTCTTATACTGGCAGAGCACTCCTAGTGTAGTCATGGCCTTAGAAGTCTCATTAGAAGTGTTAGCTCCCAGTGAGAGGCTGGAATAATGGCAGGTATTTCCAAACACTATTGAGAAAAACACTCTATTCTACAAGCAGTTTCACTGATGATTTCTGTAGGACTTTACAGACAAAGGCTCTCTCAGGTTGAGTGAAAGTGGCACAGTTGGATCCTTGCTACTTACCTAGCTACAAAGTCTAAGGTCACTGGAGTTTTCCTTGAATGATTTGGGATCTTTGCAGTCCCTTAAGTTTTATTGTATAAAAGCTTTCATCTTGATTGAATGAGAGATGAAGGGGTAACTGAGCACAAACCCCTTTTGCTGGGCTTTTCAGTAAATCCCATATTTTGCACATGCAACTGCATGCATGTGCATTCTCAATTTTCAGCTGTCAGATTGCTCCAGTGAAAATATTCCAGTGTATTTGCCCATGTGCTTGCACCTAAATACATGCGCTTGTGCCTGCCCTCTCTCCGGGTCTGTATTCAGATGATTAGCCCGAGCCAGTGCCCAGGCCACAACATCCATTTTGCTGTTTGTAGTGCACTAACTTGAGCCGAGCTAATACGTGTCTGTCTATCCGGGTCGGGAGGCTCCCTCCCTGATGCATTGGAGACAGACCCTTCTAGACTTCAACCGGTTCAGCTTCTGTTGCATTTCTAGTACTAACTTCTACTGCAGTTAGAGGAACCATGCTCACCAGCAGAAGATTAGACATTAGACATTGCAGCACCTTGGAGTTAAAGGGAGGGATGGACTTCCTATACTTTTATATAACTTTTTCTTTTTAAAAAAATCTTTCAATCTTCACTTTTCTCAGCCTCTCTGGGTTCTGACCATACAGGAAAGTTGTGGAAATCTTGCACAAAATCTCACCCTATTTGTTAGTCCAGTTTAGCATTCTAGATGTTTTAATAGGAATCCAAACTTCTGGATGCTTATTTGAATGGAATCTTGGAGCATTTATTTCCACTCCTCCTCAAATTATTGGTTAAAACCTTTGCAAATGTCATGGACTTCCAATTGAAATGAAATTGGTGGACTTCTGTTCTGTTTAAATTCTTCCATGTGAGTGAAAACAACTAGTCAGGAAAAAACGTGTCTTTTTGGATGTGGTGATTTTAATTTGAGATCCTTTATTGTTTCATTTTCAAAAACCAAGTGATGCAATACAAATTAATTTTAAAAGCAGAAATTAGGGTCTACTAAAACTTAGCTCACTATAACTCATTTGTCTATCTTGGGCCTGATTCTCCTCTTCCTCAGTGGTGTAAATCAAGAGTGACTCCGATTAAGTCAATGGAGCTACACTAGTGTAAATAGAAGGGAAATCAGGCTGCGTGTTCTCAAACTTGACCATATTTGACAGAAAAGGTCTAGTTAGGTAAATAAATTACTGTAAATAGATGGATTCTCAGTGGATGGGTTTTTAGAAGTGCACAGCACTGGACTAACTTCTTCTCTCTTTGAAGACAGAGCAGATTTAAACCAACACTGAGTGCTTTTGAAAATCCACCCTAATACTGAAGGATGGGCTTGTGATCCAGGTGCTGGACGAGGACCCAAGAGATCTAGATCCAATTCTAGGCTCTGCCACAACCTTACTATGTGACCTTGAGTAATCTGTCTGCATCCCATGTTTGTGGGAGGAGGCCTGTGGCCGGGCGATGACTCACCGGCACGGCGCCTCCTGCTGGTCTTCCTGGGAATTAGCGCTTCCCTCTGCAATTTGGGCCTCCCTACCCTGGGGAACCCCCAACCCTCTATCCCCACCTTGCCTCAGTGGCTACTGCCAGTCACCATCTAGCCCCTGCTCACTGGGGCAGACTGCAGTCTGTAAACCTCTCATCATCGACGAGGGGGTTAGCACCTGCTGCCTTTGCCTAGCTCTGGGCTGTCCCTCTGCAGCCCTAGTACCCTTTTGTGGGCCTGTAACTCGGTCTGCAGCCTGGGGCCTTGCTAGGCTGGAGCTCCCCAGCTCCTTCTGCCCTTCCCCAGCACTGCTCCTCCCTAGGTACCCTCCTCAGCTTCCCAGGCAGCCAGGTCCTTCTCTCGCTCTAAGAGACTGGAGAGAGAGTCTCTCTGTCCTTCTGGCCCACCGCCCTCTTATAAGGGCCAGCTGGGCCCTGATTGCTCTGGCTGCAGCTGTGGCTGTTTTCCCAATCAGGCCAGCCTTTCCCCTGCCACAACCCTCTCCCAGGGCTGTTTTAAGCCCTTCAGGGCAGGAGCGGGGTAACCACCCCACTACAAGGCCAATACTTCCCCATGGTGTTATATAGGTTCATGGGTGCAGGTGAGGCTCCCAGAAGCTGTGATGATGAGACCAACATAGACCCACCGACATTCCTGGTAGTGTTTACAGGCCAGATTTCTGCCAGCTGCTGCTCCTACATTGTGCATCATTATCTCGCTCTCTCTTGTTCCTCCATTTTCCAGGTCTTCCTTGCCTAAGATGACACAGCAGATGCGGGACATTCAGCTGGCCCAGGCCAGGAAGCCACCAGGACCCTCCTCCCCGAATGCCGCCAAGAGGCTTTACCGCAACCTCTCGGGGAAGTTCCGTGTTAACTACACTTCATTCGATGAGGGCAGCTTGCCAGGGAGGAGTGAGAAGGAGAAGCTACGCAAGACCTATCTTGTGAGTGCTCTGGGCTTGCGGGTGTTCATACCAAAACGCAACCCTGTGGTAACGCTGGGTGTACCCCGGTGTGGCCTATACCCCATCCTTCGTGCACACACCCCAGCAACAGAGTTGGCTGGATGTCTGGGGGGGAGGGGGGAGCAGAGTGAGCCACAGTAAATTCTGTCCCTCCTGGAGCAGGTGAATCCAGTCCAGAATGGTTCCTCAGGATAGGGTCATTTGCACTTTCTTAAAACAAAGGATTAGTATTGTCAGCTCCTTGGGGCAGGGACTGTCGTTTGGTTCTGTTTGTACAGCGCCTAGTGCAGTAGGGTCCCAGTCCATGGCTGGGGCTCCTCAAGGCTACAGTAATACAAACCAATCAGTACAGGCCTAGGTGCCTGACAAATCCACTGGCATTCTGTACACTGTATTAGGCATGGAACAGCTGTGGATAACGAGCCCCTTTGCCTAAGGGTGTTGTGAGTCAAGGATCAGCCCCTCTGGTAGAGACTGGCAATAGACCCCATTCCATACCTACTGCCCTTTCAGAGCCTGTTTTGTGGATAGGCGTGAGGCTCGGCACTCCATCCACCTGGCGCTAAATAGACTGAGAACCCCGTGTAATGACTTGGAATAGAGCCTGGCCAAATCTCAGTGAGGAAAGCGGGGTAAGGCTGAAATGCCCAGCACCCCGGACTCAGTGGGCCCCATTTCTTGTGTCATTGCAGTTTCAGAGCAATGCGGCTCTCTTTGAAGCTGTTGAGCTACAGGATCTGGACAGAGTGCAGGAGCTGCTAAAACAGTACAGCCCAGAGGAGCTGGACCTTAACACCCCAAACAGCGAGGGGCTGCTGCCGCTGGATATCGCCATCATGACCAACAATGCCCCCATTGCCAGGATGCTGCTGCAGGCCGGAGCCAAGGAGAGTCCACACTGTAAGTCACCATTACAGGGTATTTTTCTCACCCCCTCCTGCTCTGCTGTGTCTCACGTGCTCTGTCTTAGATGCTAATGGAGCTCCGCTTACCGTAGCATCTAGGCACCCTATTGCCTGGGCCAGTGTCTTCCTCTTTGAGAGTCCACTCTGCTCCACTGACCCAAAGGAAGAAGGCAGCGAGGACCTGGGGAAGGCTGACAAGAGGAGGCTTGTAGTGCAAGGAGTGGTGCAAAGGGAGACATGTGAGATCCTGAGGGTTAGCGGGAAGGTGGATGCATTGGGGTGACACAAGTCCCCAAACCCAGTGGCCTGATCTAAAACTAGGAGAGAACCAGCCAGCAGGAGAGGTCAGGAGAGATTTCTGTAAGGCCTTCCTATGGAATGGACAGCCAACGGCTGCAGGACAGGCTGAGCTGGGAGCATGTGTGTTTCTAAAGAGAGCACAGTAGGATAGGCAGGTGATGGCATTGGGGGAGGCCAAAGGAGGAGGCCTAAGTGCCCCTTCTGTCATAGGTGATTGCCCTCCTGAGACTGGCAGCATGTGTTTCCTGAGGGAGGGGCAAGTGAATGTCTCTTTGCAGTGCCACTCCCAAAGCTTGCCACTTGCTACCCTTTGCTGGCCTCAAGGCACATTCAGCTGCTTGGTGAGGTGGAAGGGGACTGCTCTGTACAGCAGAGGGTGGGAAGATGGAGCTAGGAGATCATCCCAGCCTCTCCTGGACCTCTTGTGATCTCACAGTCTCTGCCAGATAAAGGAGCTGGTGGGTAAAGACCTCCTGTGTCGTTTGCTCAGCATAGAGGTGTGGGGATTGAGTGTCCCGTAAAGAGCCATGAACGGTTTGTCCAGTGCCATGGGAGAATGAGGTTCCCCTGTTTAAATGAAGTTGCTTAGTTAATCTGTACAAGGGGGTGCCCTGTTAAGCATTTATCACTCTGCCTTCAAGGATAGAGGAATATTCTGTCCCCCAGCAATGAGGCTGTGCTGTGTATTGGGGACTGGGCTGGGAGTGGGCCCATGCAGACAGCATGTAGTGGGGATAGCTGGCAGAAGAGCAGACAGAGACAGGAGTTCAGATAGGCAAGCTCCTTTGCCTTCAGTGGAGTCAGGAAAGCCCGCAGGCTCCCCTGGGCAGGGTGGACATGGCTTAGAGCAGCTGTGAATATCAGAAGGTATCATCCCATGTAGAAAGCCAAATCACTCTCACAGATGGGAGAGTTGAAGGCAGGTTGTGCTGCAGCTTATTGACTCATCTGCTTGGCTTGATGGAGGTCTCATTTCATACAACAGCCTCTGTTCTGAGCAGGAGGAAATACCAGCTAGCGGCAGGGAAAGGGGTTGGCTTCATGTTTTAAGGGGGTAATAGAAGAATGATCACAGTTGCCTTCTGCAGACAAACAGCACGACTCCCACTTTTCCTGGACTGTGGGGTATTCCAGAGCAGGCACATTGCATAGTGGTGGGTGAATCTCAGAAGGGTCAGAGAACATAGTCAGTCCTGATCAGCACCCAGCCATTCAGAAGCTGATCCCAGTTCTCCAAGCCAGCTGAGTTTGTGTAATAGGGCCAGGGGAGCTGGTGGGAACAGGCTGTCTCAAGGGTGCTCACCCTGCCACTTGCCCTGGGAAGTGGCCAAGTGCCTGGGAATAGACAACAACCCTTTACTCTCCAGAAAGCTTTAGTTTGGAGCCATAGGCCAGCTCCTGCAGCCTGCGGGAAGGACATGAGCGCTAGTCTGGGACACTACACCAAGGGGTGGGGATGGGGAGGCAGCCTGGCCCGTAGATCTGTGATTACATGGATCTCCTGGCTGGAGGGGCAGCACAGGGATCACCTCCTAAAGCCCTGTTCAAAGCCCACTCACTCCAGCTGTGTGCATGGGAGTGAGGATTTGAACCCAGGTAGCTCTGGGGCATTGGTCATGGCCATTGCCGATGATGCTGCCTGGAGGATGTGAATCAGGCCAAGTAGCTGATGGACATATCACAGTGTAGATAAGGGAGGAGCACAGGGTGCAGCGTAGAATCAAAGACGTGTTGGGGGCTTGCGTGCAGTGGGCTCAACCTAACTGTCCTGTCTTCTTTCCCTCTCACTTCCCTGCCCCTGGCAGTCGTGAGCCTAGAGAGCCGCACCTTACATCTGACGACGCTGGTGCGGGAGGCAGAGCAGCGAGTCAACGAGTTCACCGCACAGGTGGCGAATGAGACGCCCAACACTGACTGCTCAGAGAAGGAGAAGCAGCTGAAGTCCTGGGAGTGGCGCTACCGGCTTTACAAGCGCATGAAAGCTGGTTTTGAGCATGCCTGTGAGTGCCCCATGGGCCTGCATGGGGTGGGGATGACAAGCACCAGCACAAGGAGCAGGAGGGAAGTGGTGCATGGCTGGGGAGTGGGACTCGGGGAAGAGGGTTGCATGGAGCTGGGGGGATTGCCATGGGAGCTGCAGATTGATACTCTCCCGGATAGTCACAGCAGAGTGCACTCCGCCCTGAGCCTCCCCATGACTGGACACTTCTGTACCTACCCCTGTCCTTTCTGTTCCCAGGTGCGCCGGACCCACCCGCTAATGTGCACCTGTCTGTGGCCAGCAGCAGTTCTGTGCAGGTTACCTTCGGGGAGCCCCTAAGTATCAACTCAGCTGTTGTCACCAAATACAAAGGTGAGGCCATGGGAGAGCCACGCGCCCGTGGCCCCTACAGGACACCAGAACAGGGCAGGCCTAATGCTCCCGTGCTCAGGGGTAGAAGGCAGCATGGTCTGATAGTTAGGGCACCAGGCTAGGAATCAGGAGAGCTGGGTTTTATTCCCAGCTCTGCCAGTGACTTTCAGTGATCTGGGGTGAGTCATTTTCCCCTCCCCATCTGTACAGTGATAGTGGTACTAAAGTGTTTGGGAACTATAGATGGAAAGAGCTCCTGTGATATCCGAGCCTGTGATTTCACTGCGGACCAGTGATCTCTGCTATGGCTTGAGGCAAGGGTTTTTTTGCCTCCCTCCCCCCTTCTTCAACACAACTGTTGATAAGGAATAAAAGTCCACAGGGTAGTTGCGTGGCAGCCTGGTTATTGCTGATGATCCCTTTCCAGTCACTACTAACTGACACCAGACACTGGGCATTAATGGGCATTAATGTCCACAGGAATAATGTTTGTAATGACATTATTAAGCTTGTGTGAGGGAATCTCAAATTCCAACTCAGGATGGGCCCCTAGCAAAACCCTGGTCCAATAACCCTGGAAACGTCAGGAAGTTTGTCTATATATTTGAACTTTGCAGCTGGCCCGACCCTACTCCGGGCTGAACCAGGATTCGTACACACCCAGACAGAGGAGAAGTTTGGGTCTGGAGCTGAACTTTGCAACCCTGTCTCTTCCTCGGGTTGATCTCTGGATCCCACAGGAACAAGGCCCATTTGGCGCTAGCACCTGCTCCTGCAGAGGGATTTCCGATCCCTCCTTTTCAATCTGGTGTGTCCTCTAATATCTTTGGTTTTCTTTTACCAGGCACCACCAAATCCTGATGTTTAATCTACTTTATCTGTTCCTCCTCTATGCCTTTCTCTTGCCTTTGTCTGATCCATGTGTCTTTCTTTTTATCTCTGGGCTCGTCTGTCTGTCTGTCCATTTAGCCTGTCTGTCTCCTCTCCATCTCTTTCCCCAAATGCTCTATGCTCAGTCTCTGCTATGTCCAGAAATACAATCGAGCCCGCGGGAGTGCCTGTATTGTGCCAAATGCCTGGGGGCTCTCCAGGCAGTTGGTTTCCAATCCACATCATACCTTCTCCCATTCACTCCGCTGTGCCTTTTCTCAGACATCTCTGCAGCATACGCAGCTGGCCTGGCTGTATCTAGTTCTTTGATTTCATAGTCAATCCCCCTACAGCAGCTGTACCGTCCATGGCAGCCTGGCACTGTAAGCTAACCCAGTCTGCCTGCCAAGCGCTACATCCCTCTCCTTGTTCACGAATGCCTCTCAATGACTGACAAGGCCGTGGGGCTCTCTTTGTTTGCAGTTGAGTGGAGCTGTTCCCCAACCTTCTCCCCTCCCCTCGGGGAGGTGGTGATCGACAAACTAAAGAACCTGCACTTCACCATCCAGGGGCTCATGTCGGTAAGTGAGCACGGCGCCACATCCCTTCACTCTGAGCCATGGCAACGAGGCCGTGTGAGGGGTAAAGAGGGGTGACAGGCCGCAGGCAGAGCTGTCCTGCCCAGGTGGGGGCAGTACTAGAGTCATCTGAGGGCAGCTGAGCAAGGCCGCAGCCTGTTCTTTAGCTGGCATCGCCCTCTCCAGGATTACTCCCCACAGGGGCCTGGCTCCACTCAGGTGAATTTCAGCCTGAATGAGTCCCTGCACAAAACCCCATATGTGCCCTCTCCAGGTATTACCCATACTGTGCTGTGTGGGCATGGCACCACGTTGGGAGCCACAGAGCCCCCTGCAGCTCCAAGCAGCCATGTGGTGAGTGCGTTCCCCCGGGGTTCTGTATTACAGGTGCCATATTTAGTCAGTCTGGGGCAAAATTTTCCAAATAGAGGCAAGGTGCGTCTTCCTTTTTTTGAATTATGAGTTCTCATGTGGGTACTTGCCTCTCTGGCTCCCCAAAAACTGCCAGTTGTACCCGCAAATAAGGTACTGAGCCTTTGCTCTTTTGCACAAATACCCGTGGTGCTTTTCTCCAATAGACAAAACAAAGGAGAAGGAGCCTTAAAAAGCCAAGAGACTGAACAGCCCAGCCCCGTACGCCACTATGCATATTTGAACACATATGTATGCAGTGATCTTCCCTACCTGACACTACTAGCTGCAGGGCACAGGGTTAATGGAAGAGGCGTGTGCAGGACTCATTGTTAATGCTAGAGAATGGTTCTGAACTGAGAGCCCAGCACTATATTCAGTGCAGGGTCTATACCAGTGTAAGGCACAGGCCCCTGGGGGTGGAAAGGTCACTGGGGGAAGAGGTCATGGCAGTGCAAAACTGCTGCCACTTCCATTGCAGCTAGAGGGCTGTTGGGAGTGGAGACAGTGAGCAGCACTCTCCAGGAAGGGGGCAGCCAGAAGGCATGCTGGTTCCGATTTTCCTCTGGGCAGCCATGCAGCCACATTTGCTGCAGATCCTGGGTACAGCACTCCAGATCAATGTGCCCCTCAGCCCTAGTGCCATGCAGGACTCCTGCTCTTTGTCATGCTGCTAGCAGTTTGGGGAAGTGACCCAGCTCTCCCCAAACCACCCCCTGGGAGGGGATGGCTTATCCCTGTTCACAGGCAGGATGGGATCCACAAGTTTACCCTTATGGGTGGCATCTTCCATATAACCTCTAGATCCCATGAAACGATAAATACTCAGGGGACTGGAAGGCATCTGTCTTCCATGTTATGGCCTGGGCTACTTTGCATGGTGAGGGAATGGGGAGGAGGGAATTCCCAGGCATGCAGGATCCCCAAGCAGGAAGGAAAATAGGTTCATTCACTAGGCCTCTAATTTATCCCCTGTCTCCCACCCTGCTCCTGTCTCTACCCAGGCTCCTGCTAGCCAGCAAATCATGGGCCGATTCCTCAGCCACCTGCAAAGATCAGACTCTTTCACCAATTCCTTAGCTCATTGGCTCTCAACCTTTCCAAACTACTGTACCCCTTTCAGGAAGAGGATTTGTCTTGCATACCCCCAAGTTTCACCTCACTTAAAAACTACTTGCTTACAAAATCAGACATAAAAATACAAACGTGTCACAGCACACTATTAGTGACAAATTGCTTATGTTCTCATTTTTACCATATAATTATAAAAGAAATTGATTGGAATACAAATATTGTACATGCATTTCAGTGTATAGTCTATAGAGAAGTATAAATAAGTCATTGTCTGTATGAAATTTTAGTTTGTACTGACTTTGCTAGTGCATTTTATGTAGCCTGTTGTAAAACTAGGCAAATATCTAGAGGAGTTGCTGCACACGAAAGCTTATGCTCTAATAAATTTGTTAGTCTCTAAGGTGCCACAAGTCCTCCTGTTCTTCTTTTTTTAGAAGACCTCTGTGAACCTCCAGGAGTACACATACCCCTGCCTTGAGAACCACGCCCTTAGCTAACTGGGGACAAGAACCAGCCATCTCTGAGAGCTTACCAAGATCATGGGCTGGTTTGGGCCAATGCCTCTGAAACCCTCAGGGCCCATGTTGCCTGTCAGCTGTCTCCTTCCCAGGGTGTTATGGAGCAGTTCAGAAAGCAAACACGGGAGCTATGGCTCTGAGAAGTGCGGCTCAGTGACAAACTTGAAGCATGGCAGCTGAGTCAGAGATGTAGCTTTTAAGCCAATGTGCCAAGTCTCTCCCACAAACCCCAGCCTGAGTGCGATGGTCTTATCTGGAGCAGGGGTGAGGAAGTGAAAAGGCCATTGGAGACTCCTCATCAGGGGGGCAGAGAGATCATGAGAGACACTCCTGCAGTGAATGGATGGAGTTACTGTCTTGGTGTAAGACAGTTTTATAGTGGGAGGGAAGTTTGAGCAGGAGGAGCTAGACGTTAAAGTTAGACACAGAAGTTCACTATAATGCTATGTCTATGCTCATGGCGGCATGTAGTGTACAGGCACTGTGTGTAGTTACACACCACAGAGAAAGGCTCCGGTTGCTGGGGAGGCAGTGGGGAAGGGCTCCGGTTGCTGGGGAGGCCGTGGGGAAGGGCTCTGGTGGCTGGGGATGCCATGGGATACTGCACTGCTAAAAATAGCAGTGTGGCAGGGGAGGCATTGCTTGGGCATGTGGAGAGCATGTAGGGTACATATCCTAGCATTCAGGTTCATAGGGCGCTCTGCTCTACTTACCTAAGCCGTGCCTCACCATGTATTGTTTACACCTGTGCTAGCTGGTGCCTGTACTCTACACTCCACTGCAAGTGTAGACGTACCCTAAATCACTCACAATCTGGCATAATTGATCATCTCTGCTCCATACAGCTCCTAGGCTTGAGTAGCAAGGGAAGCTGCAGATCAGGGTTGGGGTGCATTAGCAGAGTCAGATGGGGGCTCTGGGTTGGGATAGTGGGGGTGCTGCTGGTAAAGATTGAGTGTGATTGAATGAGCTGTGTGAAAGATGCAGGACTAAAGAGCCGGGTCAGGATCAAAACGCATCGTCAGAGCTGTGTGTGGGCCTGGGACAGGAGGAAGGAAGGAGTGTTGAAGGTAGTGATGGGGAAGTCTTCAACAGAGCTGCAGGGTAGTGTAGGACTAGAAAGGGAGGCAGTGCTGTGAGTCAGGGTGGATGGCCAGTGATGGAGCTGCAATACCAATGGGATGTTACAGGTCAGAGTGGAAGGGCAGTAACACATGGGGCCAAAGGAGTTTAGGGGCTTTGGAAAACCCCACAAGGTGCCTAGCCACATCTTTAGGCACCTAAAATCTGGCCCACTGTGCCCAGCTCTAACCAGAGCCACCATCGTCTGTTTCATGAGCACTGAAAGCTTTGGTCCGTCCATCCATCTCCCAAAAAACCCAAAAGCTCTCAATCGACAAACTCATGGCATGAGCTGTAGGTCACTGTCTGTTCTGCAGCTGCTTCTGCTTGAGCACAGACTGCGGGCTATGTCGTTCATTTGGCCCCTCCCAGCTTATGGCACTCTTCTCTGTGTAGCAGGAGCAGGGGGTGGATAATGCCATGGAGACGCTCCAGGGGAAGGAAGGCTGCAGGGAACCCTCCTCCTTTACAAGTGCTGGGAGCAGTGGAATGCTATGTGTCTGTGAGACTTTCCAGTCATATTTACTGCCGCTTACTTCCCCATGCAGGGCACGGCCTACTATGTCCAGGTGTCGGCCTACAACATGAAGGGCTGGGGACCCCCGCAAGCCTCAGTGCCACCCTTTGCTATCCCCTCCAGTAAGTACGAGCGTGGGGGGACTGCTTATGGGGGCTGCTGCCTGCCTTGTGTGAACTGGCTTGGACTTCTGAGGGTGGTTCTGGATGTTATAGGCCTGACTCCAATTTATAGCAAGGCCACTTGGCACCACTCTGGCAGGCAAAAAGGGCCTGAAAGTGGGAGTAAATGACTTCTACTCACTTTAAGGCCTCTTTACACTTTCTAAGCAGTGTAAAGCAGCTTTATGGTGAATCAAAAGTAGAATCTAGATATCTATCTACGTCTAGATCTTGAGATGTATGTGTAATGATGTATATGGAAATAATCATAGAATCATAGAATCATAGAATATCAGAGTTGGAAGGGACCTCAAGAGGTCATCTAGTCCAACCCCCTGCTCAAAGCAGGACCAATTCCCAGCTAAATCATCCCAGCCAGGGCTTTGTCAAGCCGGGCCTTAAAAACCTCCAAGGAAGGAGACTCCACCACCTCCCTAGGTAACGCATTCCAGTGTTTCACCACCCTCCTAGTGAAATAGTTTTTCCTGATATCCAACCTGGACCTCCCCCACTGCAACTTGAGACCATTGCTCTTCATGGTCATTATAGTCTTCA